TAGTCTTTCTGTAAGGCTGAAAAACCGGCCAAATTAATCCATATTTTTCGAGAGGTGATAATATTTAGTTATCGCTTTATAGACTATAGAAGAAATACCGCGATTTTTTTCTCAAGGTCGGGAAAATTGTCCTTCATGTTAAGCGTCCTCGCCTCCTTGTCAAAGATAATATTGGCCATTCGGAAAATGTTAATACCATAAAAGATATCGATATCTTTGAGTTATGCCGAAGCCTTTTTAAAGTGTACGTGTAAGGAATCGAGAGTGTTAAGAAAACTCAGTAAATCAACTTATTTACAGAGCGTATGAAGTTGGTCGAGGCCACTGAGCAGATTGTGACACAAGACGTGAAAACGAGTACGGCAATGAATGCGCTAGAAAAAAGGCAAACACTTGATAATATTGTGAATAAAACAAATTTAAAACTTGGTGGCATCATTTTCGGTTTCCGTCTGGAAAGTGAGAGGTTAGTGAGAGGCTACTTCTACCTTTTCGAACCCGTCAACTATCATCAACAATCTCGTATAATGGTATTGTTCTTACGGGAACGAAAAATTTGACATGATTTTCAGCGGGTGTAAAGAATGAGGGAAGACTGTGCTGAATGATACATTTCATAGATTCGACTGAGAAAAATTGTTCAAGGCGGATTGTAACAACCCTGCTTAATTAGTTTCTTACTTAATATTTTCAGAGCCCAGAAATGTATAATGGACCCAGGAAGATTCATCATAGGTGTTGATGTTGTCCATCCATCCAAAAGCAAAAATAAAGAAAATCTGGTACCGTCAGTTGTGGGCGTAAGCTTGTTCATTTATACAGTGAAAATAATGATGTCGGTGGATATGCGACTGAGAGTTTAATATAGAATTTATTGTCAAATACAGTGAATATAGTTTAACAATACAATGATTATGACAGTATAACTTTTCAATTGATTACAATACAGTCAGCAACAATGAAAGAGGGACCTACGGATGTCCTAACAATTATGTAGTCTTCACAGAATATAGTCAATTAATAGAATTACTGAATTATTGCTGACAAATCAAACACTTCGACGGCTTCAATGAGAGCTGATATATTGGCTGATCATTACACTTGACTTCTGATTTATTTGGACTGAATTATTGGACTGACTGACTGACGACTGACGACTGACGACTGACGACTGACGATTGACCGACCGACCGACCGACCGAACGACCGAC